ATCTCTGTTAAACATTTTTAATAAAAAGAGGCTAAGAGGTTGCTGGATTTTTGGAGAATTTGTTGTATTTACATTCGACACGATTTGAGTGAGTTCCGATATTTTCGATCGAAATTACATTTGCATAAACCACAGTTGAGCAAATTTGCTGCTGCCAGTCAGGATATTTAATTGGAGAACCGTCACGCAACGCAACTGTCAATGGGAAAATTTCTCCCAATAACGCGATTAAATTTCGCGGACAATTACCATGACGCAAATTGGTGCACGACATATGGCTAAACAAGGATTCTTGATGATTACAATCCACCATATATTACCAAGCACATACACACTTTACACTTTCGCAAATGTAACGTTGTACAGTCATGATTAAAGTAATGCATTATTTTATTATTAATATAATTTGCGTAACAGCTATTAGTTAAATTACGGTGCGTGTAATGTATTTCAACGACTTTCTAAATTATCTAGCAATAATTTCTAGTCAAATAATTTTATCGTATAATAAAATTCTTGAGTATTTAAATATTATGAATAATATAATAAAAATATATATGTATATTTTATATATAACATAATATAATTAAAATGGTTTCGCATTTCAGGAAACATTTTTTAACGCAATTTTTTCAAGTTTTATTGTACGAGAGATTTTCAGAATGTTTTCGGAATGAGCAGCAGATGTATTTACATGAAACATACATCTCATATAATAAAAAATACAAAAATAGCAATTTGGATAAAGTTTGTTTTTGATCATGTATATTGATTTAGTATCGAGCTTTGTTATATAAGCACTTTTAAAATAATAATTATGGAATATATCAAAAATTTATATGATATTGTATGTACATTTATAAAAAATCTGCATGTGTAATAGCATATATATATATGGAGAAACATAATAAAAATTTATTATTTAAGCAATGCGCTGACAAAATCAATATCTGTCTTTGGGTTCTAGTACACGTGTTATAATGTATTTATAGTACTTGTCATAGTATACCTCTCGCTTTCTGTAGAGGGGTCATCAAAAGAGAAATACTAGTTTCGACTTTTGCTCAGATTATAAATAATAATCAATACATCTCTTTAGTAAAATTAAATATTAATGCGATTAAATATTAATATTTAAAATTTCTCGTTATATACTTCTCTGGATTTTTTTTCTCTCTTCGCTATAAAATTATTTTTATTAATAAATTGTAGTGTTTATCTCAATAAATTTTTTTTTTAGTTGGGCAATAAGAATAAACATACATACATACATACACATAGATAATTAATTATGCATTTGACTTTAAAAGTATGCATATAAATTACGAACATTTTTCATTTTTGATTTTAAAAGTATGCATATAAATTACGAACATTTTTCATTTTTGATTTTAAAAGTATGCATATAAATTACGAACATTTTTCATTTTTGATTTTAAAAGTATGCATATAAATTACGAACATTTTTCATTTTTGATTTTAAAAGTATGCATATAAATTACGAACATTTTTCATTTTTGATTTTAAAAGTATGCATATAAATTACGAACATTTTTCATTTTTGATTTTAAAAGTATGCATATAAATTACGAACATTTTTCATTTTTGATTTTAAAAGTATGCATATAAATTACGAACATTTTTCATTTTTGATTTTAAAAGTATGCATATAAATTACGAACATTTTTCATTTTTGATTTTAAAAGTATGCATATAAATTACGAACATTTTTCATTTTTGATTTTAAAAGTATGCATATAAATTACGAACATTTTTCATTTTTGATTTTAAAAGTATGCATATAAATTACGAACATTTTTCATTTTTGATTTTAAAAGTATGCATATAAATTACGAACATTTTTCATTTTTGATTTTAAAAGTATGCATATAAATTACGAACATTTTTCATTTTTCTTTTGATCTTTTCGGAAACAATTATACTCAAATATTGCAGATAGTAAATTTTATGTTGTTTTTTATGGGTAAAATTAGTTGCTTTAAAAAAATATCATGTAATATGTTAGCTATTACTAATATCTGTGTTTTCATTTTGTTACAGAGAGAGAGAGAGAGAGAGAGAGAGAGATCTATAATTTATAAATTAATTACAAAGATATTAAATGTAAAACATTTATACAATTTGCCAGACATAAATAAAATTTAAGGACAGTAAAATTTAAGGACAGTAAAATTTAAGGACAGTAAAAAATCGCAATGGTCAAATGGAAAGCTTAAATATTCTTTTCACAAAAGTAATATAGATGTAAAATCGCTTCGATGCCTAGCAGCAACAAAATACCAGAGGTTATTACTCGGTTACGCGAATAGACAGATCCCTGAGGGTGAAAAGTAGTTTCAAAGCGTCTAGTCTAACAATGGAACGCATGAAAAGAGGGAGAAAAACGACGGGTATGAAAAGCTTCCCGGAAAATAAAGGGTAGATACGGGTGGAAAAAGCACACGGAAGACCCGGAGAATTCAATGCCAAGGTTGGTATATGTACAAAGTTAAATCGATGTTCAATATTCAATATACGAACCAATACTGAAACATTTTTTGTACAAAGAATTTATCATATTATATTTTATAAATAATTTTTCAATTTCACAGCTGATTTCTCTTTCTCTCTCTCTCGGAGATAATTGGTTATATCTAACTTGCATTTCTACGCGCGATCATATAATCCGCTAAAAAATCGTGGAAAATTTATTTAAAAAACAAATTCCCAAATTTTTTCGAAAATATACAAAATAGAAATGAGAGATTTGATATAAATATATTTTATTTAGTCTTCCGGAAATTATAATATACAAATCATCGATTTGCAAAAGAAATTGAAATTATTAAAATATTAAAAATATAAAAAAATATGACATATGATAACTTTTTATTTTAATTTAAGATTTTGTATGTATGTGTGTATGTTTCTAATAAAAAATCATCATAAATCTATTTTTTTATATGAGTTATCAATCCAATTCATACGCGAATCCAAGATACAATTGCGAGAGAACAATAGATTTTATCCTATATGGTTCTCGTTTTCCAACTCGTTTCGTGTAGTGAACATTTCGTTTTCCCTTCGTTCGACATATATACACACATACACTTACATACGTATATTTCTGGATTATATATCCTTTCTACGGAATACACGTTTTGCTGTTTGCATTTTATCTATAGCTTCGATTATGATCTATCCGATTGAATGATAAAAATTGTGTGCATTATTCCATGAATGACGTTGATAGACTCTACTTGATACCGAGTGAATGAGAATGTAAACTCTGCCATATTTCACATTTTAATAAATATTCGGTAATGCTAAATATTTATTAAAATGTGAAATATGGAAATGCTAATTTTGACTTAATTATATGTTAATCCTCAAATAATCTTTCACATTATTTTCCAAAATGAGTAGAAACATTATGAATATTATAGTCATAATGTAAACTATTCTGTACATATACACATTTAAGACAATTTTTTTCTTCGATTCATTTTTAATTTAGAGCAACCTGTATATTATTTTATTTTAAGTAATCTTGTACACACATAATTTTGATTTATTAGTTGATTTAATCAAACATAAAAATATTCTTTAAGAAAAAACTATTATCCTTCTCCCTAAAAATATCCTACAGCATCAACCTCTTTTTTTAATTTTGTCACCTTTTATACATCATATTTGATACATCGTGCCTGAAAGGATTAATTAATACATATTTAGTCGAGATTGTGATTAGAAAAACCAAAAGATTTTTGCTTCGATCGCGAAAATAATGCAGAATACAGATTTATCGCAAGAAGCACACGCGTATTTTTAAATTCGATCTAAAGCGAGCTATTTAGTATATACACGGTGTATTTTCCATACAAAATGTTCGTGATTCGAGACAACAGCGGACAGAGCGGAATGGTATGCGCCTGAACTTTCCCGATAGCGGGATAGAATTCGCAGATTGCATGCTAAAACTTTCAGGCGAGGCGAAACGAAGGAGTGTGTTTCGGGAATAATCAGGTATGAGAATACAATAACGAAATAAAATCCTCGTCATATCGCCACCGCATGCCAATTGAGCTCTACCGTGTACAGGACGATATCCTGTTATTGGTGTTATGGTCCAAATGAAGAAGTGATTCAAAGTAAAAAAAATATACATTTTTTTTTATATAAAACTTTCAAGAAACTCAGTTAAAAAAAAAAATAGGAAAAATGATAATATATTATGTAACTTAGATAATTTTAACTATCTTGCGATTTGAATCGTCCAATTGTATCTTTTATTTATATTTTATTAAGTAATAGTAATATTTAAGTAAAACTTTAATAGCGCGGTCTTTAGCTTTTATTATTATCGATAAACAGAAATTGAGATTAATTAATATATATTAATCTTTTATAAAACATCGAGAAGAAGAAAATCCGGGTTGAAAAATAAGAGGTTTAACCGCGATTGTCGGTCTGTCGCAATTGCGATCTTCTTCCTGCAGCATCCAATGCGGTATACACCCTCCCCTCACTTCCCTTGTAGATCGTTGCAGACCGTACTTTTGCTAGCAACAGGGGAAAAGGCACGTTAGCACGTGACTGGAATTCGTTTTGCGAACTCTCTGCAACCGTGCATATAGAGTTCCCGTTTTGGACGGTCGCGTTACACGATATAAAGAGAGTGGAATCCATTTTTCTGGGATAAACTATCCCCACGAGAAGCTCTTGTTGTAATGCAACAAGAATAAGAAGTAGACACAAACCCCAAGTATTTAAGTAAAAGAATAACATTAGATAGTAATATAAGATAGTAAAATCGTGAAATGTGTGCGTAAAATACACACGTATGATTATATATATATATACACATACATATATCCATCTATGTTTACTACTATTTTTTAATACGAAATTATACATATTTATTATTGTTACATTACAGCACTTATATTTAGTTTAATATATAAAGTCAAGTATTTTTAATTAAATCTAGAACATAAATATTATTTATAGAAATATATATTTATCACCAATGCAATGAACGCATACTTTTTTTCACTTAATATAAATATCACATGGCTAATATAATAGTTTAATGTTGTTACAAATGTTTTATCATGTTACATCATAAACATATCATAACACGTTATATCATAAACATATTGTTACGCGATGTTATTAACTCGGACATTAGATCGGTGCAAAAGTATGGCAGTTTTTATCATTTCTTTTTTATAATTTTAATACAAACACACATAAAGCAACCTATATATATATAAGCAAAATAAAACACATTGTATTCCTGATATAAACATTCTTACATCAATGTAACGAAAGGTCTTTATCGTAATTCCGGAAAGAATAATTCGATTACTTATAATGTCCTCATTAATTCAAGACCGATTCTGCTGGATGCCACTTCGACATTGATTACCTTTACTTCTACATGTTGGCCTACATGCAGAGTCTCATGTTTCATACGTGTAATATGTATCAATCCTTCCTTTTCGACGCCCACGTCTACAAAAGTTCCAAAATGCGTGACATTTCGCACGATACCGGTTAATATGGTACCGACGCTCAAATCATTGATACTTCGCACGCCGATGCGAAACAGCGGATAATTCGACTTTAATCGTATATCCTCGTCTTTTTTCATGGTCAGAGCTTTAATTATAATCTCCATAGTAGTCTCGTCGGTACCGAATTGCGCAGCTAATTTGGCACATCCTGTTTTCGCGTGTGAATTTATTTGTTCGATAAATGCCGGAGAACCAAGATTGTCTAACTTGCATTGACAGTGTTTTAGGAATTTATTCGCTATCGCATACGATTCCGGATGGATCCACGTTTGATCCAAGAGATTAAGATCACTCTTAGATTTTTTATTCTCGTTTGTCGTGGTTTCATTAATCATTGCTGTTTCCGGTCGAATTCTTATGAATCCAGCGCACTGTTCAAACGTTTTCTTGCCGATACCCTTCACGTTTAACAATTGTTCTCTATTCCTGAATGATCCGTGTTTAATTCGCCATTCTATGATGTTTGCAGCTCTAGAATTTGTGAGACCGGCTACTCTTCGCAGAAGGCATTGGGATGCTGTATTGACATCGACTCCTACAAAACTCACAACTTCTGTGATAACCTGCAATAATCTTTTTTTTAGCAAAAATATGATATATAATGATTTATTGCACCATTATTTATTCAAATCTATTTTAAAATTATCGCTAAAAGAAAGATCAATTTCGCACATCTATAAAAAAAAAATTGTTCTTAAAAATTATCCTTTGTCTAATAGCAAATATTATATATATAATATTCAAAACTCTCTTCATATCTTAATATTTATTTATGTAATTATTATCAAATAACAAATTTTTATACTAACTTCATCCAACGCATTCATCAATTGTTTTTCAGGAAGATCATGCTGATACATCCCGACTCCTAAATGCTTCGGTTCTATTTTAACTAATTCCGCAAGTGGATCCTGCAAGCGTCTGGCTATTGAGATAGCCGACACCAGATTTGGATCGAGATCCGGGAATTCTGATTTTGCTTCAGAATTACAACTGTAAATTGATGCTCCAGATTCGTCAACAATGGTATATGTCACGTCTAATGAACCAAACATCTTCGATTGAATCATCCTTGTTAAAAAAAATTCAGTTTTTCTGCATGCTGTAGCGTTTCCCAGAGCTAATACGGTGCATTTATACTTGTTCACTAACTTCGCCAAACTATTAGACGCAATGGGAAATGAAGAATCATTCTTGTGAGGATATATCACAGTTGTCTCGAGAACGTTACCGTGTTCCGATATAACAGCGAGTTTACACCCGTGATAATAACCCGGGTCTATACCGAGAATAATCTTACCTCGTACAGGAGGAACGAGTAACAATTGCTTAACATTAGTCGCGAATACCTGTATAGATGCCTTTTCCGCTGTTTCCTTCATCTCACTCCGTACTCGACGTATCACCTGAGGTTTAATCACTTTCTTATAAGCGTAATCAATACTATCGCTGAGTAAATCCCGATGCAACTTTGTTATATTTCCTGTAAGCTGTTGCTGAGATGTGTATTGTGATAGACAAAAGTCCTTGAATGAATGTTCAAAAGTATCCGGAACTATAATTTTCACACTGATAATCTTTTGCGATTCAGCTCGATTAATGGCCAATATGTGATATGGCTTAATAGTATTCTGACTTGATTTAAAATTAAAATATAGTTTATACTTCTGCTCATTTGCATTGTTCAAATCTTCTGCTGCTTTACACTGCGATGTTTGTATGTAAATGATAGATGTTCTCCGAAAAAATGTCACTGCATCAAAAACCTTTTTATCCTTGGTAATAACATCCACTATTATGTGTATAATACCATTTCTCACTTGTTGCTCATTTCGCAAGCCTTCTTTTTCTTCATTTATCAGAGATGCTAATAGAGTTATTTCCTGTCCGTGTAAAACAGCATTGCTAATACTTTCCAAGCCCAACTCTCTCGCTCTCTCTGCCAGAAGTCGTTTTGATGTTGGCTTATATAAGGCATAAATATCTTCCAGATCGGCGAGAGATTTTGCAGATGTGATAATAGAGTGAATTTCTGGTGACCATTTCCCTGATTTATCAATGGTTTTTAAGATTGTTGCAGCACGTTGTTTAATAATTCTGGCTTCCTCAAAACTCTCTTTAAGTGCTCTCAACTGATCGGCTTCCATACATCTAGTCTTATTTTTTCTGTATCTTGCGATAAAAGGTATAGTGTTGTCCTGTTCAAAAAGCTTTACTACATTGTTCACAATATATTCATCTACTTTATTGATTTCACTTATGTAATCAACAATTGTCCATTCCATGCATTGTAAAAAACTGGAATTTAATTTTTCTTTAATTTTGGTATCTTGCTTCATATCAGTTTTGATAAAATCTTTCTGATTTTGTTGCAATACTACTGCATCTGAATAATCATCAAATGATGATTCTTCTAGTTTTGGCTTCTTATTACTAAATGTTTCTAAATTTTCTTCTTGATTTCTTTTTTTTCTAGATTTAACAACATTCTGCATACTTTTCTTTATCTTCTTCTTCGTTGACTCCTTATTATTCTCTATAATTTTCTTTTTTGTTTTACTATCTTCCATTGTATAGTCTTCATCTTCAGATATTGTTAGTAGTTGGTAGTTAGTCTTATGTTCCTCATCATCTGAATCTGATAATTCAATTATTGGCTGATTACGCTTGCTTCGTAAGCTTCTCTTCATTTTAAAGTTTTCTTGTGTCTGTTAAATAAATTAGTTTCCTTATAAAAGTATATTTGTGGTTTGTATGATGCTAGCAGCATAATGTATATATACAAATGTCTTTTTTTTAATAAAATGTATAAACTACATTTCAACCAAAAATTCTCTATACTAAAATACTCAGCTATTACACGCAAAAAAACATTTTTTATTGTATATAAATAATGGTATGTTTTTTCCAGCAGTTTCATTATAAAATTTCTCCTCTTTATATTCTTATAGAAATCAACATCTTTTATAGAATAAAGAAACTTAAATTAATTTGAAAAAAAAAAGAATTAAGCAATATTTTATTATAATAATTGAATAGATTACCTAAATAGATGCAAACTAAGACAGAAATGTAAAGATGAACTTTACATCGATGATAATCATAACCTAAGAGTCAAACAGTGTGACTTTAAAGAAGATTGTACACACTATATTGGCATTTAAAAATTCCGTTTCATCGACAGAGTTCTGCTATTTTACATTTGCCGTCAGGACCGTGACGTCTCTCAGGTTTTTTTCTGATGTGGTGACATCGATAAAGTAATATTATCTATTCGACTCGTCATTCTGAATAAAGTTTTGCGATTGACAAGCAGAGCCGATTCGCGGATAATTCAAGAATCTTGACAAATTACATTCTTTTTTATTTAATATATTAATTTCATTTATTATAATTATTAGAATAATCATAACAGAGTAGCAAGTGATCCTGCGGAAAATATATTATATATATTTTCAGACAAAAAATTAATAATTTCGTACAACACACACACACACACACACACCACACCACACACACACACACACACACACACACACATATATATATATATATACACGCACACATACATACATAGAGAAACTTAAAGATTTCTTACAAGCAAAAATAATATCGTCGCGCAATTAGTTATAAAAAATAATGTGCACATACTTGATGATGACTATACGTCAATTGCGATTCCACTATATTATTCCGGCGAGAAAATCAGAAAATAACGACGTGATATGTGGGAAAAGGAAAGTCCGTTGATTCCAGCGCACAGAGGCGGATCACTGATGTCGAAATAACGATATTGTCGAATAATAGTGATTGTACACAATGTTCACGTTACGATAAACACTTTACGAAACACTCACGATAACTTTTCGTGTACAAAATTCACTTTTTTAGACAAAAATAATTACGAAAAATATGCAGCAACGTATGAATGCAACTCCACGATCGGTCACGATGTACTTTGTGATTCTCGCGATTCAAAATTCGAGAATCGCAATATCGCTTTTCGATAGTATCGAAGAGATATATCACATCTACCAACTGTGTTTTAGTTGCACTTCTTGCGTTCAGTAACTTTCCTCTAGGAATAAATAAATGGCAGCAAAATTTTTCATGTTTCCGCCTCTAGGGAAAAATTACACGAAGGAGAAAATGCAATTAAAACAAATAAATTTTTTAATACATAAATAAAATTCGTGATATTTTAATATTAGAAATAATTAAAATAATACCCCAGATAGTACATGTCCCTAAAAAACGATAAGATGTCTTATCGTTCTTTAGACATTTTTTAAGATTTCTTTCGGTCTTCCTGTGCTGTGTGGGACGAATGTACATAATTCAATAATTGAAATAAGACAAATTTCCAAGAAATATAATAAATTACTATGGTAATAATTACAGCTAATTACAAAATAACATACCCCTGGCGATAACTGTTGATCAGTTGGACGATTTCGATCGACATCCCGATTACAGAGGTGAATACCAAATATATATCATAATCGCAAACACTTTATGAAGAACTTTAATAATAAACTTTGATAATTCCGCGCGATGCGAGTTTCACTTTAGACGATCAAAGTTGCAAAAAATATGGAGCGGTTCGTAATCTGTCCGTCACCACGTCTTTCATAACTCATTGTGATTTGAAATTTTCAGAAACATTATTGAGATTCTCGAAGCATCGGAATGAACCAATCACGGCTGTGATCGAGAAGACGCTAGAGATGCCTCGAAGCATTGCATTAACCAATCAGAATAGAGAAATCTTTATTCTTTTTGTCCTGATTGGTCAATCAAACGCTTCGAAGCATTTCTAGCGTCTTTCCGACCGCAGCCCACGACAGGTAGATTCGGATACCTTGATTCTCGAAAACAGCGGTCGAAGCAACGCCGATCGAGACCAATCGCAATAACTCTTTAACATGGAAACAAAATTCGAAATATTCCATTAAAAATAGCGAATTAATAGCAATAATATGCATTAAACAATTATATACAATTTTCGATATAAGATTTTTAATATTATTTCGATGATATTTATGAGTACAGATTAAATCACGTTAAGTTAGGGTTAGAATTTTTTTATAAGACGGCATTTAACATGCCTTCAACCGAGTACCGAGTAGTTATATTTTTTGGTTAGAATTGGGGTTAGGTTAGCTCTCCGCATTATATTCATACGTCGGCACACGTCGGTATGCGTGATTCTGACATATCATTTTATTTATTTGAGTTTTCTAGTTTATAAAATGATAGAACGCTATCGACAATTGATTAACCTAATAAACAAACAAATGAAAAAATATGCGGTGTTTCATCACGCAAAAGAAATTGCAGAAAATGCCACAGAGAAAACGCAGAACAAGTTATCCAATGCACAAAACCTCGCGGCTGAGAAATATAATATTATTGCAAAAGTAAGCATTAAATATATAATATCAAAAGTTACACAAAAGTTTTTAATCTTGTTTCACCGTTTTTTGTACATTAGTGCAACAAACGTATTCTGAACAATTGCAATCAATTTAGTCTTTTTAAGGAGCACATTTTGGAATATTCTAAGTTTCTTATGCATTGAATTATGTATTTATGTAAAATTTTAGCTATATTTATTAGTAAGTTACTCAAGAAATTTTTCATATTTTTAGTAAGAATTAAAATTGGATATAATTATGCAATAAAATAAGTCTCTCTCTCTCTCTCTCTCGAGATTATCTTTTTGATTCTGATTCAACTATACCTGAGGTTTCTTTAACGTTTTTATTATTAAGTACTGCAACCCTATAAAAAAGTAGGTGAATATTTTTATTGAAGAAAGAATTAATTTCGAATTGGCTGAACAATCTGTAGTGAAAATGGCGATCTATAATTGTGGAAGATTATACAATGTAGGGCAATAATTATATATAATCATTAACTTTTATGTTATAGAAACTTAGTGACCAGGCTATCATTATACAAGATTTAAATGCCAAGGCATTGAAGCCAAGCCAGGAAGAATTGTCAGGAAAAATTGTTAAATGGTGGCAATGGTACAATCAATTGACAGGATTGAATGACGTCGAAGCAGCGAAGAAACAAGTAATTATCCTTCAAGATAAATTGTTTCTATGTCAGGGCAATAGAAGAATCTTGAACAAAGAATTGACAGACATTACTCATAAATTGCAAGAATTATATGCTGAATTAGTTCAAACAAAGCGAGATGATCCTAAATTTGTACATTTAACGATAACGGAAAATAAATGTTTGCAAGAACAAAATAAAATTCTTAATCAACTCTCTTTATCAGAAAAAGAAGAGAGGGATAATTTCACACAGTTAGCTACTGCTATCAAAGAATATCACGACAGTCAAAATTTAAATGCACAGAAATATAAATATTTATCTATCCTCACATCTGCCATAATAGCAATTGTATCGTTAGTTGGTTCAATTATACTTAATAACAAGAGGATACTAGATATAAGAAATACTATACAGACAGTGCAAGAAAAAAATGAATCGTTACATCAAACAAACACAAATGAATTGTCTGATCTTAAGAAAATATTGCTATCATTTGATACCAAGTTCTCCAAACAACACACAAATACCAACGAAAAGGAGAACAACAATAATTCGTCTAATATTCTCGTGGCCTCTACCAAATATTCAGCACATTTGTTAATTTCAGGAGCAAGTTATATTAAGAAAGGTATCTATGCATGCGGGTCATTTATCTTTTACAAATAATAAATATTTACCAAAAATATACAACTACTCAACAATGCAACTAAATTTATATGAATCTTATTTTCTTCCTAATGTATAATGATGTATACTTTTTATGAAATGTTTATAAAGGGGAGAGAGATATATGTACAGTATATATCATAAAACTTGAAAATAAGAAATATAGAACAAAAATATTAATATTTAATATATGTTAAAATATGAAGTTTTTTTCTATAAGATAAGAAAAGAAAGTTATATTCTACATTTGCTAGACAAAATGCTTCATATTTTGCGTAATCCACATTGTTGGATATGTTTTATGATCATTGATTTATGATTATTAATTTCCTTCAAAATATTGTAACACACAATACTATAATTATAATTGTAAATTGCAGATGTAATCTGTTAAGTAAACATAATATAAAAATCAAGTAAATGTGTTAATGATTTTATATATTTTATAATCATACAAAAAAAATTTTTAACACGGAAATTAGTTTATTATATTATTGAATCACTATCATATAGAAAGAGAAATATTACAAAGTATGAAGTATCACACAATGCTGCCTACTTAATATATATCTTATACTGAATAATCATATGTATGATATATATATAATTAAGAGAGAGAATGCAATTATTACATGCATAAAACACTGAAAAACTGATGTTTAAAAATTTGTCACAAATTATGAATTCCAAGATTTCCATTCCATCCCATCGGGTGGTTTTCTTTCAACTGTTCCATGTCCTACTTCTTCCCAATTAGTGCTCAGAACAGTGCCGCCAGATTCTGACTAAGATAAATTTTTTTTTTTTTAATATGTTTCTTTTGACAGGTTATTATATTATATTTATATTAATAAAAGTATTGAAAATTTATATGCATATGTATTTATATGATAAATTAATTTTAATCAAATATCATTTTTAGGATTTGTAATGAAAAATTCAAAAATATCACTGTATGCAATAAATAATTCTCACAACATATTTATTGTATAAAAATAGGCAAGAATAGCTAGAAATAAATAGAATTGATTTCATTTATGCAAAATTAAATTGCCATGTACTAAAGATTTATATTTGGTAGAAAAGACAAATTCTTTTAAATACATGTTATCAATAAAATTTGCATAAAATCTACAACGTGTAGCATTATGAACAAACTATATAAATATCTTTCTTGTTACTATTCAATTTATGAAATACGAATATTTTACTTACAAAGGACTTGTTCATTGCACGTCTTACTTCATCAGATCCTTTACCATATATTTGTTGGAAGAGAGCATTTATCGCTGCATCACCCTCTGGTTGTTCAGCTGCCTCTTGTTTTTCTATTTCCTTTTCTACTTTATCCCAATCTCTGTATATTTTACAAGAACTTGGATATTTAGATGTTTGTTGGCTAGCTTGGAGTATTTCTTAAATAATACAAACAAGTTTAGAAAAATGTTATTATCGATTATCTACAATTTTTTAATCAAAAATATAATAAATATATATTAGTTTTTTATAGTGAAATAAAGTTTTAGAAACTATATTATATATATATTAATATTTCTAAAATGTATATTATATTGTGATCTTGGATGACATTTTTTTGAATATGATGCTATTATTATATTTTCACAATTCTCTTTAATATCAATTATATTAGTATCATGGAAGATATGTTCATGATATATCATAAAAGTTTGAAGTTTTATTACATTATCAGATTATAAATATTATTATTAATATAAAATACCTAATAAAATTCAAAATTATGTTGGATTTATATTTGCCAAATATTGCCTATTAGCAGACATTATGTCATTTCATAAAATTTAATGTTTTACATATTTATATTTTACATCCCAATTACATTCCTCTATGAAATAATGACAGATTTGTAATTTACCATTTGGTATAGGTTTTACTTTATTCTGTTCAACTGGATTTCCCTCTAATATCGTCCATCTAAGATCATCCTGTTTTTTCAGTTTGATTTCTATTTTAGATGGCCATACTTTGTGCGTACATTGTTCGACTACTACCGTGTGAGCCAAATCTAATTCTAAACTATATTCATTACCAGATGGCAACTTTGCAGATACACTTAGCTGAAAAATAATTTGTGAAAATTGAGCAGTTTAAATAAATATCTTATAAATCTAATTCAAATCATTAAAAATTTCAGCTTTTTTTTGTATCACACGTAACAATCTATAATATAGAAATCATGGACAATTCAAATAACAACTGCCAATATTTAGATACCCAAGTATTTCGAGCATTACCAAAGGATGTCTGGATACTAAAGCGTTGCATAGAAAATAATATAAAACTATTATATCATACACAAAATCATCGTAAGATGTAATGCTTTTGTTTAAGATATTTTTTATTTGCTCTAATAAACAAATTAACTCCTGATACTTTAGCAGATAGATAAGCTTCTAAATACGTACTGTATTTTCTTCATATGCAACTTTCACATTTTCTGTATTTTTTGCAAGTATTGTTACGATAACGTGGGTCTCTGTTTGATACCAATCATGTTTTATTTTTGGAACGGGCATCTGCGAAAATTGAACATTATTGTATCTAGATATTTCGAGATTATATATTCACTTATATTATATTTGTGTATATAAACTTACTACATTATTTTCCATTTTGGTGATAACGTTGTCAGCATCCATTATATCCTTATCATTCACAATTATACTTTCTTTATGAAACGGTAAAATATAATATAAAATATGGGATTTTTATCTTTCTAGAATCTTCCTACTGTCAAGTAACCGAAGGATGCTGCAAAACAATCCATGCAACTGTCGCACTAACGCTTAAGGCCCGTTCTACAATAAGTCGTATGTCGAAGTCGTATATCGGAGTCGCTAGTTGTATGTCGTGTGTCGTATGATGAATATTGTTAATAATATATCACCATTCTACAATAGGTGCATTCAACAGACTCAACAGGGGCCATATTCTCAAAAAATATCGCATACGATATTTTTCGAGAATATGGTCCTTAAGTAGCAATCGAATGTGATTGGTTCTTACTTTTAGAACCAACAAATCAATGTCGAGTGTTATGAGTCCGCTGAATATTAAAATTAATGAAAGTTATTGTTTAATTTTGAGATATCGCCAGTAAATAAATTAATAAACGAGTATTTCTACGACCAAACTGGCAATTTATTGTTTGATTTTAATATCACAAATATTAAAGTGATATTAAAATCAAACAATAAATTGCCAGTTTGGTCGTAGAAATACTCGTTTATTAATTTATTTACTGGCGATATCTCAAAATTAAACAATAACTTTCATTAATTTTAATATTCAGCGGACCTAATATATAAATATATTTAAAATGTGATAAAAATTCTTCATTGTTATAAGCAGTTATAATTTCTACAGAATTATGTAATAGAGATATTCGTTTTTTACTGAAATGACAAACAAAAAATATATATAGTAATCTTTTAATTTTTTATTGTGAAAATCATATTCTTCATTATTATCGAGAAAATCTAATAAAATTAATGCTTGTGCAAATATATTACAAATTATCTTCTCTTTATCTTCCATTTTTATGCTTACGATTATGGTTGCTTATAATGCCAAACTAAACGGTTTCGTTGTTTTCACGTAAGCGCTCAAAATCTAAAGGAAACGATCGAAAATAGCGCTTATAAGCGCGAATGCTAAAGCGCATGAGTGTCCAAAGCGAACGCATGCTAAATCCACGACGGGGCAGCAGCTGTTTCTCTGACTTCTAGTTGCTTGTAACTGTTACATGTATAACAGCGACTGATTTCCAGAATGGCGACCGTCTTTACTTAAGAGAGAGTACTTATTGTCGCTCTTAAAAGTCGTGTAATTGACGAGCGTTTATGAAGTTATCTATGCGCCCTTAACACGGTAAAACGCTGAAAATGATAATCGACAATCCTGATCAATTCAAGGCGTGGCTCACCGCTGTTCTGGAGCCGCTGTAAGTAGGCCAGCTTGCCCGAGAGAGTGTATCTTTACGCGTATGTGTATCTGTACTCATTTGATGTTGTAAATGGCCGTACATGATGCGCTACGTTCTTCGTGTGTGGCATGGTATTTACAAGAGGTACTACCAGAGATTGTTATCCCCTGTCTGTGACACGACGAACAGAATGAACCCTTCTCAACACTCGCGTGTTCATCTCTGCTTGAGTACCGCGTCCAAAGTCTCTCTATAAATCTAACGATTAACTAATCTTCTAGTAACGTGTATCTTCTTTTACTGATCTATATCAATTACATGCAAGCATTAAATCTTGGGACTGAAATGCAATAACCTTTGCTGATCCCTTCTTTAATACATTGTACATAACGTACAATGGCAATATGTGTTGTATTATTGTATTACACGAATGAAAATTTTGATATTTCTATCTTTTGATGACTGTAGCTTATTACATTCTACGTTGATTAAGATAATTAAGAGATTACTTTATCGAATGATTATATTTCTTAAATAGATATTGTGTTTTGTGAAATTTTATTTCAATATACAATCTTGATCATGAACAGACTTTATATTAAATGTAATATCATAATTTTATATGAATCACTGATATTTGATTTATTCTACAAAGTTGTTGGAACAAACAATTCTCTAATTATTGCCCTGAATAGTGTATTTGAAGAATATAAAATTACTATAATTCATGTTTTATTTCTGTAATATAAAACATCTAAACAAGTATTTATTAAACATCTTATTTATACTGCAATGCTATGATGGCTTATAATGTTCAAAATACTTTTCACTGTAATATTTAATAGTGATTAAATTATATTTGAATTAAAAAGATAATATATATTCAAAAGTTTATTAAATATATTTTTTAATCAACTATCAAGCAATTTATTTTTCTTTACTAGGTGCGACGCAGATCCTGCTGCTCTGGCTAAATATGTCTATGCATTGGTTAAGAAAGACAAGACTTTGGAAGAATTACGTGGCGGTATGGTTGAGCAATTGGATGTATTTCTGCAGCAAGGTGCGTTTATATATAACATTTTATCTATAATGTAAATATATTAGAAATTTAATTATCTATTGTCTTTACGATATTAAGAATACATTAAAATTGATGTTTTTAGAAACCAAAAGCTTTGTGGAATTGCTCTTTAAAACATTGGAGACTCAAGAGTATATACTCCCACCCTCCAAGAATGATCCAGATGGTGGTGGGACACCACCTGGCGTAAACCCACCAGCACCAGTTGTAAATCCACCCTCAACAGAGAAAATACTGGAGACAACAATTCCACTAGTATCTATAATTACAAATCCACCTGTTCCGCTTCAAATCAATGGATCCGCGCCTGCTGTAGTTAATAAACGCGAGATTAAAAAATCTGATTCAGACAAAGATAAAGAGAAAGGAAAACGTTCTCGAAGCAGGTATTTAGTAATCTTATTTTTGAAAAATAGTGAAAAAAGAACAATACAGATTATGACAAGAAAAGCTAACAAAAACTCTATATTTTTTTCTTTTTAACACATTTGATTTTAATATAATTTAGTTTAGTATATTGGGATTTTAATTCTGATATTACATTGTGTGCAATTTAGAAGTGGCAGAATGAGATCAAGAACACGATCACGTTCACGATCCTGGGAAAGGGACAGACGCAGATCCAGGAGTAGAGAACACCTTCGACGCGATAGAGAAAGAGATAGAAGTCGACCATGGAGAAATGAATCCCCACCTCTTAATACTAGAAGACATGACCGCAGGTACGTTATTGCAGCATTTGAGGAAATTTTTAATTATTCTTAATGCTTTAAAAACCTTATTGAAAAAAATAAGTAAATGTTTCAATAAATTTTCCTATGTTCTATCTTTTAATTATTTTAAGCAATGTATATTTAAATAAATGAAATCATATTATTTTTAGTAAACTTTTTTTTTTTTTTATTTTTTTATTTTTTTATTTTTTTAATCGATTATATTAAACCTCCATACTTTCTTCAAGTTTTCAAATAATTCTCAGATATATTATTATTATTTTATTTTTTAGACGTACTAGAAGTCGCAGTACATCACCAATACGACCTAGGATACGCGACGGTCCAGACGGTCGCGATCATCGAGCAAGGTTCAGAAACAGATCTCCAACTCCGCTTCGATCTCGATCACGTTCTAGATCAATAGAACGGAAAAAGATGGATCGTTTCGAGAGAATGGAGATAGATAGAACAGATCGAATCGAGGCAAGTCCTGGTGGTGGTACTCCGACTCAAGATAGTAATCATGGAGATGTAGACATGAGGCTATCTACAACTAGTCAATCAATACAAAGTGTTGTCTCTGTTGCGAGTAATATTCCAAATAACCAAACAGGTTCTTTTCAACAACAAACAAAAAGACGTTGCAGAGATTTCGACGGTATGTACGTCGACACATCAAAAAATAGAAAGCAATTATATTGTCGCTCTTTTAAACACTTCAACCATCATAGCGAGAATAGTCATTCTCGATATCGCAAGACTAATACTAAATTGCAATTATTTCATTTTGCTTAAATAATATTTGAGTTAATCAGTTATTTATCTATTTCTCTCATATTTTAATATAGAAAAAGGATATTGCATGAGGGGAGATCTTTGTCCTTATGATCATGGGACAGACCCAGTTGTGTTGGAAGATGTGGGATTAAGTGGAGTTTTGACTTTTGCACCACATGGCCCTCAAGCTCCAGGAGCAGTCCCAGTGGCTACAGTACCAGAACCACCACAGGGTCCTAATGGTAATCCACCACCGCCGCATCTTCCTCTTGCCAGTTTACCACCACCTCACTTAAGAAATCACCATTCTAATATGGGTATGTATTTCTACATAAAATCTATAATAGTTTTAATTATTTAATGCAATGTTGTAAAACAATAATCCAAAAATAATATTTAAAAAAAGAAATTATTTATTATATATCATATTATGGCAATGTTTAGACTGCCAGTACTGCAATACTGAAATATATGTATTGTTTATATATGTATACACTCTCATTTAGATATTGATTGTCATATTGATTGTCCTGCCAGTTATAATGAAAAGAAAGAGAATACCTTGAGGCATCATAAAAATTTTTATATTGGCAATTTTCAATTACAATTAATTTGAAATTTTGTCCAAATTGAAAGATGTTTGTGTTTATATAAAATTGTATGATTCTAACTAGAATTAATATCGATAAGGTAAAATATTTGATAAATTAGATGAGAAAGAGAGGGAATACATAGAGTTACATTACAATTTTGTATTGTAACATTATAGTTTATAACAAGTGCAATATTCAATATTCTCAGAAATATAATAAGTTAAATGTGTCAGACGCTTTTGCAGAATATAATCCGGATGCGCCCAGCATGGAGCCACGCATGCCGTGGGGTAGACACCCACAACCCGCACCTGGGATTTATGGTAGGGGGCAAAGAGAACTGATCAGTGTACCAGTTATTCCCCATACAAATTCGTCAGAAATAACTCATACCCAAAGCAATCCGCTAAAACGTAAACAATCGTTTGATTTTAATCGTCTGGGACCGAAACAGAGAGTGGTGCATAACCCGGCCAATTGTTCTCTCGAACTGAAAAAGGTTCCACGAACCCTTAACAATATAACTCAATTGAATAATCATTTTTCCAAATTTGGTAAAATTGTAAATATCCAAGTTAATTTTGGTGGTGATCCTGAAGCAGCATTGGTTACTTTTCTGCTACCATCTGAAGCGAAGGCCGCTTACAGAAGCACAGAGGCTGTATTGAATAATAGATTTATTAAAGTATTTTGGCACAATAACGTCAATAATAACGCGGCTGGTGGAGCTATCGAAAACGTGCCACCGGGTAAGAGATGATTATACATTTTTATTATTATATAATACAAATAAATATTCTCGACATGATGTAATATGTAATAAGTTTTGTTGTCTCCAGGATGCCGCCCTTCTGTGAAAGAGAGATTAGGCGCCGCTGTAACATTACCGGCAAAGGCTGAGGATAACGAATATGTTCCCACGCGTCGTTCGACCGAGGAACAAGTCACGCAGACCTTAGTTCCAACTTCGCCTAAAGCTGTCGTCGTTCCTACTCGAGAAGACAAGGTTCTCGCGATAAAGAAAACGCAAGAGATGTTAGCGGCGAAGGAAACATTAAAGAAGAAGCAAGAAGAGAAGCGGAAGGAGGCAATCAAATTGACCGCCGATTTACGCAAAAGGAAACAAGAGTTATTAGACAAGCATCTGATTGAGTTGCGCGCCTTGATCGACAAGGCCGAAAAGAATCCAGAACAAAAAGATTCCATAATGCCAACAATAAAGGCTATGCAGCAATCGGTTGATAATATACGCAAGGACCTAGCTGCGAACGGTCAAATCGGTAATAAGTCGCAGGTAAAATCTAGAGAGCAGACTCAAAAGGAGATACTGGACGCTGAGTTAGATTTAATGACCGCGCAACAAGAGGGTCAAGATGCCGGCGAATTGCAAAAGAGATTAAATGAGCTTCGAGCCCAAGCGGCCGCGTTGGGTTTAAACGCTAATCCCACTGTCGGTAGAGGCGCGAGAACTTCTAATCGAGTTACGCGCGGCACCCACACGTTATCTTACAGAGGCCGTGGCAGAGGAAGTTTTGCCCACGTCTCGGTAGATCATCGGCCAACGAGTCTTCTAGTCTCCGGTTACGAAACCGAGGAAAAGGCGGAGGTTTTGGCGCATTTTCAAGTAAGATTTATTGTAATAATAATAATAATTATTATTATTATTATATATTTATATGTAACAGCATTTCAATACAATAATCACTTTGTCATTCGAAAATAGTTGAACAAAAAATGAGAAACGAAGAGACTCAATATTTACATGCAATTGTGTATATTAATTATAAATATGCAATTGAAGCTTCACATATTTTAGTCTCAAGCGCGCGATACATACAATTAATTTCGCAAATTTCTCTTGTGCTTTAGCAATTTGGTGAAATAATGAATCAAATAGTAGACGATGCAACTCCTTCAATCGTGATCAATTTTAAATCGAGAAAGGAGGCTGAGGTTGCTCTAGTGAAAGGACGCACATTTCAAGACAGACTGTTGTCAATAACTTGGGTGTCTGGTCACCATTTGCATCGTGGAGGAGCTGGTAGTAACTCAAACACATCTGTACAACTCTCGTCACGTTCTGAACAGACTGCTCCTGTCACAGACGAAGATATCGATTTGGAAGTAAGCTTTAACGAAATACTTATATACTGCCATTTTTTTAATAATTTATATATTACTTATATAGATTACTATTAAGAAAATTGCGATATATATATTCAAGATGTTTTAGATTTCATTGATTAAAGACTTCGACTTCTATTTAGATTTCATGAGAAGATATATTTAATAGACAGAAAGTTTATTCTTTGAGCTTTGTACGAAATTATGTAAAATGCAACATGTGTTATTTTTTATATAGAAAAGATTTATTTGATGCAAATGACTATGATAATAGTAATAAAGAATAGGAATATCTCTTTTCTAATAAAAATATCTTCAATATTTTGTGCTAGTCTAATCTGTAAGTATTAACAAGATTTACCTTTCCAGGGTACGGCAGAGGCGCTGCTTCTAGAGGAAAACGAGAACGAAGAAGAAGAGGATGAGGATGGGGAGTCGCGCAGTTGGCGGCGATAGCAGCGTCAGCGTCAGGATAGGAGCCGCTTGTGACAGGAGCTTGGTGTCAAACGTAACGACAGCGTGATCATCCGGGCCGGCCGTATGCGTCCCGGCACTTACGCCTACATTGCTGCACCGCCGTTTGATGCATTCATTGCCATGATGATTTTCACGAAGAAATCGGATTATGTCGTGCTCATCAGCGTTATCATGAATGTTACACTATTTGTTAATATTATTGAATATACTATACATGCGCACCGACAATGGTACGATATTGTACCATATTGAATATGGCGCGTCACGAATAGAGAAAAAAAAAAGAAAAAGAAAAACTGCAGAACTTTCCAAAACAAGAGTAATAATCGAAATTTATCCCCATCATTTGTAGAATAAAATCGCTATGTTTTATATGGGAAAAAAAGAAACACCTTATTCTAACTTTCAAGTCCTCTTCTTCTATATGTAGAAACTCAAACCGTGCGTTTCCTAGCTCTTGTTGTTTTAAAGGCTCGTTAGATAAACATTAGGATAAGTAGGAGCTTGTAATTTCGAGAATATTCAGGTTTTTTCACTCGAAGAATGAGTAAACTATATTTGTAACTTGTACAATACGAAGGTATGATAGGTACTCGCGATTATACTATATTGTATTACTCAATGATAAGTCATAACACACTTCATTCGATTGGCTGTTGACTTTTATCTCTATTGTATCTATTTAAAACGGTTCTTGTAATAATGCAAAGTATAATGTATCATTCTTATTGTTTCTTTTTAAAAGATGTCAATGAATTAGATTGCTGAAAATCATACAATGTGATACTTCGCGCATCATTTACATAAATTCTTTCAATCCAGACTATAAAGCAATAACATATAATTCTTACACATGAACCATTCCATCCAGTTTCAAGGTAAGTATCAAATTACACAATAACGATGTAAATAATATATATATA